GCGCCGAGGGGCAGCGGCCGAGCAGGCGGCCCCTGAGCTCGGGGGGACGCGGGAGGCGGCGGCGCGGCAGGGCGGAGCGCGGCGCCGGGGCCCGGCCCGGTTCCCCGCCCGGCGGCGGGGAGGGGGGACTCSACCGCCCGCCCCCCTCCCCCAATTCACCGTCCGGGCCGGCGGGAGCGGCCAGAGCTGCCTGCGGGGAAGGGCTCGGCCCGGGCCGGGAAGGGCCCTGAGGTCACCGAACCCCCCCCACCCCCGGGAGTCCGTCCCGTCCCGGCTCCGATTTTGTCGCACTAAAAGTGTCCTGTCCCCTGTCACCCCTCCCTGCCCTCCCGCCGTGTTCTCCCCGCCCCGGTGACACCTGTGGGAGGGACCGCCCGGGCCCGGTGGGCATCTCTGACCCTGCTCCGTGAGGGGCCGCGCACCGGGCACAGGGTCCCCCGGAACCCCCGGGAGGATCCGGGTGTTGGGGCACCGGGCAGAGGGTTCCCCGGTTCTCCCCGGGATCGGCGGGGCCGGGGTGGGGTGGGTTGTGTTGTCCTGCACCGCTGACACCCGGAGCAGAGGTGGTGACACATCATGTGCCAGGCGGAATCCCGGTGGATGAAGGATGCCCCCGGGAGCTCTCGGTAGGCACCGAAGGCCTCAAACTTTTGTAGGCGAAAGTGAAGGCGCGAGAATTGTTTCGGAAAACTCCTTCAAGGAAACTTGGTTCCAGCTCCCCAACGGCTGAACCCCCCTGCCCTCCGCCCCGTGCTCCCGGGAGGGCGGCGGGAGCACACCTTCCCACCCCGGCTGCGGATCATGAGCTCCTAGGGATGGAAAGTCACGAGAGGGACTGGGAGCTGCTCTGGTTCCACGGGGTGGCCTGACGGCCCGGAGATGACCTAACACTGCAGAATCAAACTGGGCCCAGTCAAGGCCAGTTGACTGGGAAGAGCCCCCGGCAGCCGGGACCGGGTTGGAAGCAAAGCGAGTCCCAAACTGAGTGTGTCCCGTCACAGATTTATGTTCTTTTGCAAAGACACTCTGGAGCCAGGCCGGGATCTTTTGGCATCCAACTGACCTGGAAGCAGCTCTTAGGTTTGGTTTTCTTTTTTTTTTTTGCCGGGATCTTTTGGCATCCAACTGACCTGGAAGCAGCTCTTAGGTTTGGTTTTCTTTTTTTTTTTT